CTCTAATTGTGTTTTAAATAACTAGCCTGACTGAAATAAAATAAATAGTAGTTTTTATTGTTTTTTCAACTATTCCTTATTTCAAACTCATTGAAGTAGATTTCATACTTCAACCACAAACAATTACTCAATATAACCGAAATTAGTTTTGAAAACATAAGCAATACATTTTAAATGCTTTTTTTTTATTCAAATGCTTCATGTTCTCTGTAATTACGCTTTATTGTTCAAGAGAATGTTTTGTCCATTAATTAAAGTTAACAAATGAATAGAAATGGTAATTTTTAGTTAATTATTTGGAATGTATATTTTGAAAGGGGTTTCCGTGATATTTCTAATTAAATGTTGTAATTAATGAGTTCCTGTTTATTTTTAACAAAAGAACGGAGATTTAAGCATCCCATCTGTGCTAAATCCATTAGTGACTAAAATTTTGCATTTTTTTCTAAAAGTTCAAATAAAACCAGGTCCGATTTTCGGCAGGTAAGTGGGAAACTTGTGTATTTTTTTAAGTGTTACGTTTTTCATTGGAAACGATAACCATAAAAATATTAAGCTAAGGTAATTAACAATTGTTTCAAAATAAACTAGACAACATGTACATCAAATTAAGGTTGAGTATGTGTTTCTTAAAGGGAGTGGGGTAGCTCAGTAGTAGGGTACTGAACTTCCAATGCTAAAGGTCACAGGTTCGAATCCCGCCTCATGGCAGAAGAATTATTTATTCTGTTTAATTGGCCGTTGGGCGACCCTGGGTAGGTAGACCACACCCAGCCTCTATAGTGGGTATCCTTATTTAAAATAATTAATTAAGGGGAAAAACCTGGCGGTTGAGCGTGATCTCGGTCAAATCACCTAATTAAACAACCGTAGAGAAACAGTGCTGAACTGAATAGGAAATATTACTGAACCCAACAAAGACCCTTCATGGGTTGTAGTGGTACAGTTTTTTTTTTTTTTTGTCTTTCCTAAAACCATTTAAAGGGAGCTTTTAAGTGGCTAAAAATTGATGTGTTCTGCACTTCATAAAACAATGGATAACTAGTTTTTATTAAAATAACAGTCAGGAAATTTCCTAATACTTAATAAAAATATCCTAACCCTTAATTCACTGCGTCCGGTGATGTTAATATTCCCAACAACGATTGAGGAACTGCGAAGTTTCAATAATAATAAGACTTAATCTGATTGGAAGGCTGAGTAAAATATCTCTCAAATCCCTTTCAAACCCTTAACAGAGAGGGTCAGGATCAATCTTATCTTCTCATTGGCGCTTATTTGGAGCTCTTGAAGGGTAATCCTACGTCAAACTATTTTTTGTATTAATTAAGGGCTTAGCCAGTTAGAAAATAATTCAGAATAAACAAATAATTACCTCGTTAAGGTAGTAAAAAAATCAATTAAAAAAATGGAATAAAATTATTTTAACAGTTGGTTTCATTGTATTATAAAATATAATTTACTATGTCCATTGAATTATTCGGTTTTAGTTTGTTAATGTGAGATGTGCTATCTCTAGTTCCCCTCATTCATATGTTCCGTTTCACAGACCTGATGGTGTATAAATTGGCAAAACATTGACTATTCGCTTATATAATGTGAAAGATACAAAGTTGTGCAATCTTCCAAAAGTAACTTTAAAATATTTTATGGGAATCGTTAAGCTTATAATGATGGATCAAATTGATTTACTGAGAAAGATAGAAAGGTAACTAACTGGCAACATAGATAAACAGAAATGCCTTCATATGTGAATTAGTAAAAACCTTCATTTTTCAAAGATGACAAATACTCAGGGCGCAGTCATTTTCAAGGTTTTTATTGGTGCCGACGTTTCGACCCAAAGCATGTGGGTCATCACCAGGTCATGTTTCGACCATTGCAGCGATATGTAGAACAGTCGGCTTTAATACTTCATTTTTCTAGCGAAGAGAAGGCCAATATTAGCGTATTATTTATTTAATTTAAATTAGTATACATTGTAAAACGGAATTTCCTAGAACTGCTTCTACATCGTAACCGAATGATGCTTCTAATAAAAACTTTAATACTGTCTGATTTTGCAATGGAATATTCCTAATTAACTGTTTCTCTCAATTTTCAATTCAAATTCGTTGTAGAGTTTTGCAGTTTGCTCAGAAATTATTAAAACAAACATCCGAAAGGATCAAATGCTGCTAAAGTTAAACTTCACTTGGCTGTAGTTGTGAATTAATATTGTGTATGGAATAGTAAATAAACTACTTTATTTACTTTATACTGACGAGTATTTTTATAAATGACAACCTTCCAATTTATTTTTCCATTTTTTAAAATTTTCATTCATAGCAAAATTGGAGGTATATAATACTTTGTTGACCGAAAACTAGTTAATAATCATTCAACTTCCATTCTTACTCGAAAAAATATATTTCTGCTTCGATTGTTAGTGGCAGAACTTAAATAAAACGTAAAGATCCATCCAAAGCCTCAAACGAAAGTTTGATACAAATACACCATTCCTCTTATACAGTGGTATTAAAGTAAAAAAAAAAGTCTCTTGATCCCCATTAAAAATAGCCTTATACCCATAAAGTACTGAATAACGTAATAATCGAATATTGTCTGTACTCTTTTCTTATATTATTTGCCATCATTGTGCAATATGAGGAAAAAGTATCAGAATATGCATTTCTATATTTACATGTATAGATTCTAATAGTACAATAAAATTGGTGGAGGGGGAGAAAAAAATTCTCATACCACTATTTATGGTATAAAGGCGTAAAACCTGTTGGTTATAAACGCTTTTGATTATGAATATATTTGTTTATAATTACATTTATTGTTTTCTCATAATATTATAAATAACAAATAATTAACAGAAATTACATTAAATATGACAAAAATAAATTTAATGATACGATTAATGAAAATAAAGACGGAGAATAAGAATGCAGAAATGAGTAAAGTATTACTCACTGGAGAAAAAAATATAATGATCAAATTATAGATATTTTTAAAAATTGTTTCGTTGGCAAGTAAAGATATGACTGTGCTTACGGCATTTCCTAATTTGGTGACTAACTAGAGTAAATGATGTCCTGATATCTAAGATGAAAGTTAACTTTTAAGATAACTTTTAATACAGAATAACAATTTTTTAGACGTAACACCATCAAAGCAAAGCAGTGATATAGCAATATACATCGTGAATACTAAAGTGAGAATTGAACTAAATTCCATGAATATAAAAATAAGTAGAGTTAGCCAGGGTAAGAAAAATGTTATAATTGCACACGCAATTGGACTGCGAAAAGGGTTTTTTGTATCTGCTGGTTACAGACACTTCAATACAGTTGTTAGGCCGAAAATCCACTTGGAAGGTAATCAAGATAAAGCTGGGACAATTTCAGAGATCAAAAGACTCCTTTTCGTTCAACAACATAAGTGGTTGCCTCCCCCTAATACAAATATTCAACCAATAGAAAATTCCGGAAAAGAAAAGAAGACTAAATTGAAATGAAAATATTTTGAGATGGGAGCGAGATTGTCTGAGGATGTCCCTTAAAAGAGGTACAGTCTGAGAGAGACCCTTGGAGGAAAAGTCTACTGAAGAGACTTCTTCGGAGATGGCTGTCCAGTGAAGAAGGCAGTTGGAGGTTCTTGGAAGAAGTGCCGAATAAAGAAGGAAGGGTTGGCTGCAAAGAAAACTGAGTAGGCCCCAAGAAGTCAAGAAGAGAGACCTCGAGATAACGGCGGTACAACTAACCAAAAAGTAGTTGTACTCCACCATATAGTCTATAAACAGCTAAGTCGTGATATACCTTTAGATCATACCTTGGTAAATCTGTGCTGACAATCTATAAATTAATAGAGCAACTAATCAAAGGACTGATAGAAATAAATTTATGTGTTGTACTGGTACAGGTGGAAGGAACGAGTGGTAAGTGGGCCACGAGGTTCTTTTTGCCAATCCCTGGAGGCTACTTTGAGGTTGTCGCCGCCTACTTACCTCCATTTAAGTGTAAATTTCACGTTACCATTGTGGGAATGTCAAGATTCATTCTCAGAGCCACCAAGAAATGAAAATAATCAACCTAGGTTGAAATCGAACTAAGCACTCAGGGACTCATGCTCCAACGTTCTCGGACATCACGTCCTATATTTAAATGTATTATATTGGTTTGAAATTGTATTATTATTCGTATGAACGTTTGTGAAGTAAGTGGGATATAAGATTGAAACATTTTTACAGAGGCCTAGTAATACTATCGAAATAATATCTAAAATATCCTGCGGATAAATTAGATACTTCAATGCTGACCAATAACGAATTCGAGGCGAAGCTATCTGGCTGAAACTTCCTAAATAGAAAAAAAAAACCATTGGTCCATATTTCTTTTTACAAGCGAAATATTTTTTTTTCTTTTTTTTAAAACTATTTATTCAACATATTTACTACTGTATTACAATATAAATACATCAAGTAAATGTGTACACAGGAATATAACCCCATGAAAAGGCTTGTTGAGAAACAACCCACAAGTAGCACTCTAATAATATGTCTATATAAGGTGATCATGAGACTTCTTTTCAGATGTCTCGGAGGTAAATAAACTAAAGACTTCTAATGAATTTTCTTTTTATATTATTATCCAAGTACTTTAGCTACTAAACGTAAGTATTTATCAAGAAAAAAAATAAGAAATACTATAGCAAAAAGCATTATTGTTAATGTAATTACTTTTTTTTTTTAATAAAAAAAAGCTAGACCCTTTAACTTAAATCCTGAATCTGCTACTTTTGCTGACTATATTATTTGCACTAAATACGATACGATCATAAATCACAGACTTTTTTTCTACATTCTTGGACCGGGGTATGCTGTTAAGGGATATGTTAATTTATTAAATACCGAAAGCATCACCCAAATTTCATTTCCCACATTTTATCTGCCAAACAGAAAAAAAATTTCTGTAAAAATATATATATATTTTTATAGTCAATATTTTTTTCAGGGCAATTATATGATCAGGAATGCTTCTTTGGACGCATCGCAGATAATGAACATAGGCTCCGTTGCTCCGGCACGTTGGTGGGATGACTACCATTGGAGGGTCAAATTTGAGCTTATCGACAAAAAACAAAGTTTGGGTTGTGGAATAATCACCATGAGTTATCAAAGGATAAGATTGAATTGAAAATACTTCGATTATGGAAATGTATGTTTAAAATAAAATAGATTTATCTGAGTCGTAAACCAATGACTTCCTGTCCTCCAGTATCCTTTGACAATACCTCACTTATCTCTGTTGAACAAATCCGTTACCTAGGACTCCATCTGGACAAACGTCTCACTTGGAATCCTCATACATGACTAAAACGATAAGAAACCGCTCGACGTTTCCGATTACTTTAACACATACTAGATGGTTGCCTTTCGACTAAAATGGTATCTCGAAAGTAAACATCTGTTAAATATTTGGCAAAGTGGATTTCGTGCTGGTCGCAGCACTGTTGACAATATAATAAAATTAGAGACAGAAATATTAAATGCGAGAAATTCCAAAAACCACCTATTAGCAATATTTTTAGACATCGAAAATGCCTTTAATTCCGTTAGAAGCAATGACATTATTAAAGCATTACTTAATATGGGAATAAACGGTGAAATACTAAGATTCATAAAAAAATTTCTAAGTAATCGTAAATTTAAAGTGAAGTGCAATAAAGCAAAATCTACAGATTTTGAACAGCAAGACGGAGTACCACAAGGTAGTGTGCTTAGCCCCATATTATTTAATGTGGTCATAAATAAAATTGCAGAAGAAGTTAAATTACCAGTAAAAATTCTACTTTACGCAGACGACTTAGTATTATACCTGAGTGGAAAAAATCTGCCCTACATTCATAGCTCTATACAGAACACCGTTAACAGGGTTGTTGCGTGGTTCGCAAATAAGGGGCTTGTGGTATCCAAAACGAAGTCCCAGGTAATATTATTCACGAGACACAGAAATCCAAAAGTAAATAATATTAAAATAAACGGAGAGCCAATTGAATATTCTCAAAGTGTTAAGTACCTGGGAATAACATTTGATAAAAATCTGACGTGGGCAACTTATATAAAAAAAATCAAAAGTGAATGCCTGCAGTCACTCAATTTGTTAAGAACTGTCAGTTGCCATTCATGGGGTGCTGACAAAACAAGCATACTTATGTTATATCGGAGCCTCGTCTTAAGTAAACTCGATTATGGCAGTATAGTTTACAATTCAGCCAGTGAAAATACCAAAAAATGTTAGTCCCAATCCAAAACGCCGCTCTTAGATCAGCTTTAGGTGCTTTTCGCTCTAGTCCAACGGTAAGCCTACACGTAGAAGCAGGAATCATGCCTTTGGATTTTAGAAGAAAGGCACTCTCTCTTTCCTATTTCATAAAAGTAATTTTTCGCCCCCAGCACCCTCTAAATCGTCTGTTTTCTGAAGACATAATCTTACTTCAAAATCACAAAACATACCGCCCATCGCTCCCAGAAAGATGCAAATCCTATCTCACTGACTTAAACCTAGCACTACCACCCATACCAAAATTCGAAAATCCAAAAATAGAACCCTGGTCACTCCCTATCCCTAAACTTAACAAAATAAAATCAAAAGGCAATTCGCCAATTATACCGTTAACATATTTCAATCGCTTCAAAAACGCCCATCAGGAATGGACATTTATTTATACCGACGGGTCTAAACGCAAAGAAGGAGTAGGCGCTGCTATGGTGACGGGAAATAATCATATAATGTTATCCCTTCCTCAGATTTGTAGTATCTACACCGCTGAGCTATCTGCTCTAAACCGCGCCATAAAATTCATTGACGCTAAACTAGCCAGCCGCGTCGTGATTTGTTCAGATTCCAAATCTGCCCTTATATCGATACAGGACCCTTTTTCTCAAAACTGATTAGTTGTCGATACTCTAACTAAACTTAAAACATTGGAAATGGCTGGATGTATGGTAAAATTTGTATGGTTACCAAGTCATGTCGGAATCAAAGGCAGATTGTATGGCCAAGAGAGCTATCAAAGAAGGTCAACCTATCATCACCACTCAACCTTCTGAAGTTGTCTCTTTAATCAAAGAAAAATCATGGTTGGTGTGGCAAATAACTTGGTCTGTCACTAGAGATAATAAGCTAAGGGTTGTGGAGCCATACGTCAGGAGAGTCACTCCAAATATCCTGCTGACCAGAAGGGAAGAAGTGGTACTGACCCGGCTAAGGATCGGACACACTAGGCTTACTTACGAGTACTTAATGAGGAAAGACTCTCCCACTCAATGTCTTTCCTGCGGGGTACCTCTTACAGTGAACCATATCCTAACCGAATGTTATGCATTCCAATCTTCTAGGGATCAACATCTTCTCATAAATAGCCTTGAAGAATCACTCCAAAAGGACCCCAATGCTATTAAAAACTTAATATTGTTCCTTAAGGAAATCAAAATATTTAACAAAATTTAATCACACCTCGTAATTGTAAATGTTAAGTTTGTAAGTTCCTCTTTAATTTGTAAATATACCTGTTAATTTTTTCTCTTTTAATCATAACTTTTAACTATAATAGTTTTTCAATTTTTCTTCTCGTAATTTTTAATATTTAAATTGTACTTCCTAACTTTTCTCCTTTTAATATTAATCCTGTTTTTAAACTGTATTTTTAGATTATATTCCTGAAACCATTCACATTTTATTTAAATGTCCTTGTTAACTGTTAACTTATCATTCTCTAATCTTTATTGTTTAATTTTAATGGTTCTTGTACTTTATAATGTTTAAACTGTTTTCTTTAACTTCGCCTCTATTAGTATTAATTTTTATTATTTAAAAATGTATCTTTTAGCTTTTATTCTTGATATCATTAATCTTTATTGTCTCTGTTATCTCATCTTCTATTAAATCTTTAAGTTTCAATTTTTATAATTTTAGTTCAATTGTACTATCATAATAGTAGGGTAGAAATGCCGGTTCTGGTCCCAGGATCTGAAGGGCACTTTTGGACTTTGGACCCTGGGCTATTCTTACCTTAACCACCTGTACACCACGTGACCAATATAATTTATTTTGATTGATCTTAATCCCTAATCTTAATCCTTAATCTCTAATGCTAATTCCTAATCCTTAATCCTAATTTGTATTTTTTCATTTTTAAGTTCGACAGGTCCGGACCTGTCTCAACTGGTCTCATCTTGTCTACCTCAAGTAAATATAAAGTGTAACGACATAAATATAGACATATATTGTGACATTCTACGATATCATGTCTGAACTGGTCCCATCTTGTCTACCTCAAGTAAATATAAAGTGTAACGACTAAAATATTTATTATTGCAAACGAATATAAATTATAACAATGAAATATACACATATATTATTACAAAATGAATATATACAGATATGGTAACGACAAAAATATATATATTATTACAAAGGAATATAAATATAAATTGTATTGACGAAAATATTTATTATTGCAAACGAATATAAATTATAACGATGAAATATATACATATATTCTAATAATTTTACGATAATATATCATAAAATTAACAACAACGTCATCACCCATCCCCTCCCCCCTCTTCTTCTCATCAACTTTTATATATTGTTTTTTTTTTTTTTCATAAATATCAAAACGTATTTAATAATCTAAGAATATACATCTCCAATATCACGAATATTGTAATAAATCGAAATTCGATTAATCGATCTTAAAACTAACATAATTTCCGAATTCTACACCTATAATAACCTAATGGTAGACTCTAATATCGAAAAAAATAAATCATAAAGTTAATATACGTAATATTATTTTTATAACATATGTTATATAGAAGGCCGTGGAGAGTACAGCTGCGTTAGGCGACAAGTCTCTTCACGTTTGAACATGCATAGGCATGTAGGGGGACAAGGTCCACTGTGAAGTCTGGAGCTAGAATGAGAGTGGTGGGGGAAACCATCAGCCAATCAGATTCGAGGATACAACCGGAGGTACCCGTGTGCCTACCCCCACTACTCTCATTCTAGCTCCAGACTTCACAGTGTTCATATCGTACTTAGTGTCCTCTGCGTTAGAATTCTCTGTCTCTTTGTCTACAGTTTTGTTTATATTATTAGTTTAGTTATCTACAGTGTTTTTTCTTTATTTCAAAGTTATTTTTGTTTCTTCATACTTTTTTTTTCTATCCTAAGGTAAGTTTTTTCTTTTTATTTAGTTCTCTATTAAAAATTTTCTATTCTGTTAACATTTTTCTTTTTGGGTTTTCTTTTTACATCTTCATATTCTCTTATTATAGTGTTCTTTTTTTTTTTTCTTACTATTATATATATTTATTAAAGTTTAAAGTTTTTTCGTTTCGTGTTTTCTTTATATTCTCTTATTATAGTGTTCTTTTTTTTTTTCTCTTACTATTATATATATTTATTAAAGTTTAAAGTTTTTTCGTTTTGTGTTTTTCTTAATATTTATAGTAATTATTCTTCCTTTTTCTTCTTATTATATATATATATATATATATATATATATATATATATATATATATATATATATATATATATATATATAACTTACGTCGGTTCGAACTCGGAAAGATAAAAAAAAAGAAAGAAAGAAGAGGTTTGAAATGAAACGCGTGGTTGCTCAAATAAGACTGACTTTATTCTCTCCGTAATGCTATATATATAGCATTACGGTTTGTTTACAACTATTGTCTAGGATTAACTCTCATATAAACTTACATCTAACCATAACTCCCCCCCGCCAGTTTATGAACACTTCTCATAAACTAACGCAGGGTTAGTGATATAATACATAACAAAACATAATACATAACAAAACAAAACAAAATAATCTTCGTAACAAAACAAAAAAAAAAATCTTCCTTGGCATTCCCATACAGCCATAGCACAGAACAAATAAAATTAAACATTTTCCTGTAATAAAAGATTTCCAACTGAAACAAACCTTCTACCGTCCTTCCATAGCTTGTAGGAGACAGAAAAGAGGATATACCACTATTTACGACTGACCCGGTTCTATCGGGAGTTTCAACTGTTCTATGTGAACAGTCCTTCGTTTCTTAGGATCGTTCAGACTCTGAATGGTACAAAGGTTGTGTTCGCGAAGTACAATCACTTTGAATGGTCCG